GACAGGGGTGGGTTACAGAGGCCCTGGAAGTTGGGGTCCCACAGGCAGGTCCTGTTGGCGCCCACCCTGACCAGGTATGCATTCAGGATCTGTGAGGCCTGGGACACATCCCCAACGGCATCCAGGCTTGGCAGGTCACTGCAGGGGATCAGGTCAAAGGCCACGGCTTTGTAGGGACCTGTCCTCCCACCCTCTGTTTGTAGGAACGTTGAGTCCAGTGGGGTCTTGGCGCTGTCTTGCACTGAGGCATTCCTGGAGCCAGCTGCAGAGGCAGTGCAGGAAGTGAGGCTCCTGGCCACTCCGGCTCAGCGGCACTCACTCAGTTATTCATCAAAGCCCCAATCATCCTTTCTGCCCCAGCCCTGTGCTGGGCACTGGGGTCACAGGCATGGGGCTAGCTTACTCTCTGCCCTCCCAGTGCAATGTGGGAGATGGACAAGGATCACCTCCCTGCTTTGGGCACTGTGTCTGACTCTCGCCTTATCTTGTGACATTCCTGCAACCCCCCATTCCCAACAGACCTTTGTCACTTCATTGCTGAAAGCCCTGGATTTTCTCTTGTGTAAAATGGGAAAGGAGGTTCATATGACCAAGGGAAATAAAGTGGAGGCAGGTCCCAGGTCTCCTCCTTACTAGATGGGTGACTTTGGCCAACTTACTCTACCTCTCCAGACCCTAGTCTTCTATGAAATGGGAGAGAAATTCCTCACAGTGCCCAGAGATCAGGCACTTTAGTTTATAGTCAATAAACACGTGCTGAAAGAAGAAAATGATGGCCCTGAACGAGCTGTTGTAAATGACTGGCAGCTAGAAATGCAAGAGTTGATGTTGGCTTGTCTCAGAAGCTCAGGATCCCCTCCAGGGAAGGGATCAGGGCTGGGCCAGAGCAGCAGGTCCAAATCCATGGTTTTGCCTCAAAAACACCAATCTCGAGCCACCTGGCAAAGCCTCAGGAAGGACCTTGGGCTTGGGGACTAGAGAGATCAGGATTCACTCTCCAGCTCTGGGAGCTCCAGGGGCATTATTCCACCTCTCTGAGCCTTGATTCCCTGCTGTGTCGTGGGGACTGGTAATAGCTGCCTTACAAGCTGGTTGTAGATATTAGCTCTACAGTGTACAAAGTGCCCGGTATGGTATAGGTCCTCAGTGATTGCTGGTATTATTACTTCCCTCACTAACTGGATGTCCCTGCAGGGCAAGGACAGGTCTGTGACTGCAGCACCCAGCCAAGGGCTGGCCCGGAGTGGAAGCCAGGGCATGCTAATAAAGAGCATGGGTAGTTTAATGAAATGACTACAGGCATGGAGGGTTCCTCTACCTGCTTCCTTCCCTCCTCCCTGCAGACAGGTCAAAGCCCCTTTTGGAGTAGCCAGAGGGAAGCAGGACCCTTACCTGAGTCAACCAGGACGTACAGGTAGACCTGGTGGGTGCCAGTGAGGGCCTCTGAGCTGTCAAACATGCAGAGAGGCTTTTCCAAGGCCACAGTGGTAAGTGTGGGGTTGTTGGTGGCGAAGGTCACACTGGCCAGTTGGGGCTGCAGGTTCACAGCTGGAGGAGGCAGTGAGGATGGGAACTCACCCCTGGCAGAACTGTCCACACCCACTCTGCTTGCAGTTACTGACCACTTGCCATGTGCCAGGCCCTGGGCTTCACCCACCCCTGGGCCACCGCATAACCTTTCTCAGACACTGCCCCCTGCCCAGTCATCCTGCTCAGAAATGGCGCAGTGGGGCCAAACTGCTGCCTTCTCTCCCTGCTGCAGACACTCAGTTGCCAAGAACTCCACTGCCCCTCCGAAGCATCTCTCCGCCCCATGGGCCCAGCCCTCCTCCATCCCAACTTCCTCATCTGGACCCTAGTAACACCTTCCCCACCACATGCAAATCTGGCTGTCTCGTTCTCCTGCTATGGCCCTTCCATGGTCCCCCAGCGCCCCCTGACGAAGTCCAGCCTCTCTGAAAAGGCAAGGACTGGCAATTCCCAGGACAGCCAAATGCTGTCTCCCACCTCCATGACCTTGCCCATGTGCTTTCCTCGGCGGAAATATCTCTCTATCTGCCCCCATCCAGGCGTCACCATGGGTCCGGGGCTAGTCCCTTCTCTGCCCTCCCGCAGCCCCCCTGCATGTTGCTCTCTTGCAACACACATCGCAGGGCTGCAGCCATCCGTGAGCCCTCGAATTCCCACCAGAGGACGCACGTAAACGTTGGCTAGCACTATTATTTATAATAGTAGTATCTGGGTCCCCAGCGCCAGGAATCAGGGTCCAGGCGGCGGGCGCCCCAGGGCACAGTGGCTCCCTCTCTCTGAGCTCAGCTTCTTCCTGCCCTTCCCTGCCTACCCGAGCCGAACTGCAGGCAGCCAAGGGCCAGCAGGGCCCAGAGCGGAGGCATCGCCCGGGAGGAGCCGCCAGAG